CCTCCCTCCCTCCCTCCCTCCCTTCCTTCCTTCCTTCCTTCCTTCCTTCCTTCCATTTTTTTTTCAAGACAGGGTTTTTCTGTGCAACAGCCCTAGGTATCCTGAAACTCTCTTTGTAGACCAGGCTGGCCTCAAACTCATAGATCTGCCTTCCTCTGCCTCCCAAGTGCTGGGAATAAAGGCCTGTGCCACCGTCACTTGACTTTTTGTTAACAGGGATTTTTCTTACCAGCCTCATCATTTACGGATATGAGACTAAGATCTAAGTAAGCCGATAGACTTAAGTACAGCATTTTAAATGTCAGCAATTGGAACACATTGCCTTATGTTAGCAATTGTATTCTTAACCCAGTCCAGGAAATGGAGAAATGTTTAAATAGCAAGTTGATTTTCAAAGCAAGGGAGCAATCTTACTAGGTGTGGACTGCTATGGACTAGCAATGAACTTGCGCACATTACGTGCCACTACGTGCCGCTAGTGTCCTAACTCATGTTCCAGTAGACATGAAGCTCACATTCTCGTCAGTGCCTCTTAATGAAAATGCAATTTCTTGCCTGGGGACAGATAGTCATCTCAGCCATCAGAAACACTGGAGTCCGGCTGAAGGTCGGTGCTTCTGTAGGCTTGGGATTCCATGGTCTTAGATGTGACGCAGAGACATGACTCACCAGAGAGCCAGAAGCAGTGCTTCAGGCTAATGCTTTGGAGACGGGGGCCCACTCTGTCCACAGGCAGACCTCAGGGTCCCCAGTTCCAGTAAGAACTGGAATTAAGCTCATGTATAAAACAAGGGCAGTCCGTCTTAGCACTCAGGCAGTCCGTCTTAGCAGTCTGGGAGTGCAATACATGCTGATTTTCTCAAAGTCAGATGATGGCAGACTGACCAGGGACACAAATTTAGTGTCTCTCCTGTGAATACAAGTGATTCTATAGGCAAGAACTTGCCTATCAGCCACAGAATAGAGACTAGCTCTTGAGAGTCAAGAGCCCTTTCCCTTTGCTACTGTGAGTATCTGGAGCTTTCCCTTATCCCCCAAGAACTTTTGTGGGGTTTTTTTTGGGTTTTTTATTTTGTTTTTCAAGACAGGGTTTCTCTGTAGCTTTGGAGCCTGTCCTGAAACTAGCTTTTCTAGACCATGCTGGTCTTGAACTCATAGAGATCCTTCTGCCTCTGCCTCCCAAGTGCTGGCATTAAAGGCCTGTGCCACCACCACCCGGCTTCCTGAGAACTTTTGTTTGAGAATGGCGAGAAACATGGGGAAGGGGAAACACCACCACCAAGGAGGACAACTTTCAAGGAAGTAAAAAAAGCCAACAGGAACGGCTTAAGGCCGAGGTCGGTGGTGACCAGCAGCGTGAGGAGTGGAAAGAACCTGAGTACTCACTGGAAGACAGTTAGTTATTGAGTACGGTTTTGACTCCATCCCAGTAAATCCTTACAAACACCCAAAGGTGAAGGTGTTTGCCTTGCAGAAGACAGACCTAAGGACAATAGATTTATGTATGGGAGCCATCCAGGGCTGGGATAGAAACCAGAACACGTTTTACTTAAAGCTGTTTTCTGCAACGATTTTCTACTAATTAAATGATAGCATCCATCTTGCCACAGTGCAGCGGGATTGGTGTTTATCAGTTCGGTTAATTTGTTTATAATGAACAAAGTTGCTATAATTTCTGTGAATGTTTTTTCTCCAGCTAACTGAGGAGCCAGATCCCGAGGGAGCAGTACTGATCTGGGAGTGAGGGTAAGAAGGGAGAGGGAAAGTTTCATTTTTTCACTTTCCATCCGCTTCCTCTACGTCCTGGGATCTGATTGGTTAAAAAGTCATGATGACTCACAATGGACCTCAGAACCTTGGAACGGTATACAGTGGGAAGATTTTTGCCCTGACCACTACCACCTAGGTTACTCTTGATCTAGGACTGAAAACAGTAAGTAGAGAGTTTGCTGGGGGGGAGGATTGAGTACTGTGGTCAGGTGTAGATTCCTGTAGCTGTTCTTGGGATGCTCAGGTATTTTGGCCTCAGACTGCTCCTTAGACCATATGAAAGTTCTCTTTGTTTGAATTTCTCCTGTGGTGGGAGGTACCAAAATGTCCTAACAGTGTTCATTCCATTTTCACAGCCTACCTGGGCTTCAGAAGTCAATCATCAATTGAGTTGCTGGAGACTTCAGTCTCAGGTAAGAGCCTCTCCTGTGTCCTTCTCCTGGGTAAAAGCATTTTAGAGATAAGGCCTGGGCTCAGCTTTCCCCCCAGAAACTCTGTTCTGTTGCCTTGGAGACCACTGTCAGGTTCCTAGGCTCCCTTTGTGTGTTTCATTGGTTAGTTGGTTGTGTGTTTCATTGGTTAGCTTGGTTTGCTTTTCCTGTGACTGGGTTCTTTTCTTGTGGCCCAGTGCTAGTGATCACTCTTCTAAAACAGTGGTTCTCAGTCTGTGAATTGTAATTCCACTGTTCATATCAGATATTTGCAGTACAGTTCACAACAGCAGCAAAATTACAGCTAGGAAGTAGAAATGAAAATCATTTATGGTTGGGGGTCAGCACAACATGAGGAACTGTGTTAAAGGATTGCAGCATTAGGAAAGTTGAGAACCGATCTTGTAAAACTGAGAGCCGGACAGTGATGGCGCATGCCTTCAATCCCAGCACTCAGGAGGCAGAGGCAGATGGATCTCTGTGAGTTCGAGGCCAGCCTGGTCTACAGAGCTAGTTCCGGGACAGCCAGGGCTGTTATAAAGAGAAACCCTGTCTCGAAAGAAAACCAAACAATAAAACAAAAACAAACAAACAAACAAAAAACAGAGAAAACATCTGTGAACCAACCTGCCTAGGTCCTATCCTTCTGTTTCTCAAATCTAAGCCTTCCAAGAGCCTTGATACCGGTTCAACACCATTGGCAGAATTAACTGGGCACAATTTCTCATGCTGGTACTGAAAACACATGAGAGTAACGTGTGTAGACCTACAACAGATAATGCCTCCTATCTCCTACCCCTCTGTTTTATATTCTAATGGCTAAAGAACTTGCGGCATGGGAATGCTGTGAATTATTTCAAACCATCTTCTTTATTCATGTGGATTTAACTTATTTTGACTGAAATGTAATAATTCTTGTACTCATTTGTAGCTTAGTATTTCTGTGCATTTATATAGAGTGTGTACTGGTCAAGGCAGATAATAAATGTTTTGGTTTTTCAAGACTGGGTTTTTCTGTGTAACAGTCCTGGCTGTCCTGGAACTCAGTCTGTAGACCAGGCTGGCCTAGAACTCAAAGAAATCTGCCTGCCTCTGCCTCCCAAGGGTTGGGATCAAAAGCATGCGCCACCACTGCCCAGCTGTGAAAATGATTTTTAATGGCACATATTTGTTTCACGTTTAAAATATTATCATTTTTTCCTGAATAATAATATTAATTCTTACTCAAAACCAATCTATAAATTCAACACAATACCATTGATGTGCTTTAATAGGATTTTCTCAAGTAATGACATGAGCAGATTATTCAATTAAGAAAAGCATGCACCTGGCGGTGGTGGTGCACACCTTTAATCCCAGTACTTGGGAAGCAGAGGCAGGTGGATCTCTGTTAGTTCAAGGCCAGCCTGGTTTACAAGAGCTAGTTCCAGGAGAGGCTCCAAAGCTACAGGAAACCCTGTCTCGAAAAACCAAGATATATACCTGATAATGAACTTGACCTATAAGACATGGAAACTTACATGAAGGATTTAGAAATAAAGACATGACTTAAAATGCACCAGAAAAACAAAAGAGATTCTAGACACAGACCTACATTAGTAACAATGTGGAAGAAGGGGTAGCATTCTTTTTTTTATTAAGATTTTTTTTATTTTTATTGAGCTCTACATTTTTGTCTGCTCCCCTCCCTGTCTCTCCCCTCCCCTCCAATCCTTCCCCAAGGTCCCCATGCTCCCAGTTTACTCGGGAGATCTTGTATTTTTCTACTTCCCATGTAGATTAGGTCTATGTATTTCAGGACTGTCAACGCCCCATTCCACTAGAGAATGTGTTCTAAATCTCATAGGATGGCTTTTCCTACACGTCCTGCAATATTGCTATATAGTACCAGAATAAATCCGTCTTTCCGTGTTTATGCCCTGGCACTTTTCCATCACTGCTTTTATGCTTTGGGAGCATCATTAACAAAAAACAGGGTAACACCGACACAAGCTACAGATGCTGTGGAAGAGTTCATGTACACAGCTGCATTTGATAATAAACACAGAGGTGATTCATGCAGTTCCCACGCAGGACAGTGAGAAATGGCATGGAATTCGATTATGCCACTTCACAATGGAACATAATTTCAAATTTAGAATCTCTTTTATTTCTGGAATTTCCCACTTACTATCTTCAGATCATGATTGACCACTAGTAAGTAAAGCTATGGGAATTGAAACTCTAGGTGAGGCAGGACTCCTGCATTAACAGTAATGTGGGGGCAGGTAAGGAGGTGATCAGAAAATGAGAACCTCTGAGGCCCGTGGCTTATTTGGATTTCATTATCTTTTGTAGACATCCTCCGCTGTGCTGTCTCCTTGAGACTGCGTGGAATCTACCAGCCATGGATAGAGGACAACCCGAGGTCGTTTCCAGCCCACCAAGAGAGAGCCCCAGGAGGAAGGCAGATGAATACTTAAAGCGTGGCAAAGGCACCAAAAACGTGATGAGCTTTATATTAGGCAGACAACTGGGGAGGCATGAAAATGAAGCGGAAATGTACAGGTGGCTGTGGATGCTGACACGAGGAATGCCAGGCTGGAGGTGGCCGTTGCCCAAGCATCATATTACTTACATGCTTATGCCCATCCCAAATCACGGGAAACCCTCCAAGAAGAATGAAAATTAAAACTTCTCCTTGTTTTTGATGTTGAATACAAGCTGTACTTTCCATTTCTTTTGGTCTGTGTGTCTTTTTTTTACTAAATGTTTGCTAAAATGTTTTACTAAATATCTCATTTAGTATTCAACTATGAATAGACTGTCTGGAACTAATCCATTCACCCACTTCCAGCTCTCCAACTTCTCCCCTAGCCCTGTCCCCACTTCTCTCTCCTCCTAGTTTCATGTGCTTTTTAAAAATTTAATACCCACTGAGTCCATTTGGTGCCGCCTATTGTATATGTTTTAATCTGACTTTCTACAGTCATGTTGGACAGAGAAGTCTACCCATCCTGACAGTCCATGTAGAAGCTCTCAGACTCAAGATAGTGAGATTGGGTTGCAAATCACATCTCTTTCGCTGTCATCTGGAAAATCGGTGTTTATGCATGCCTATAGCACTTGGCCATTCAGGAGCAAAGAATCTTTCCCCTAAGTCATTTTGGATAGGCATCCACCATGTTGCTCTGTAAAGCCTGTCTGCCTTCCCTACTAAAAAGAAATTCTTGAGGGCAAAGCAGAGCCGGTGGGAGGTTCTGAGTACCTTTTTATTATGGTGCTCATGAGAACATGACTTAGAAAGCCCAGTTCTAGTTAATACAAAATAGGGCACGGAACATTTTGTATTGGAAATACTATATATTGAGAACCTTGTTAAAGTCTTTTTTCAAAGAAGTGGAATTCCCAGGTGTGAGTTTTTGTAGGAGAGCCAGAGAGAGACAGGGTGGGGTGGGGGGACTTAAATATGTCAAGCCCCAGGTAGATAGATTGAGTAGAATTCTTCTGTTTTGGTTTGTTTTTTCAAGACAGGGTTTCTCTGTAGCTTTGGAGCCTGTCCTGGAACTAGCTCTTGTAGACCAGGCTAGCCTCCAACTCACAGGCCTGCCTCTGCCTCCTGAGTGCTGGGATAGAATTCTTCTGACCAACATGATGCTACCTCATAGTCAAGAAAGACTTAAGGAATAGCTCTTGTTAAAACAAAACAAAAACAAAAAACAGACCAGGTGGTGGTGGCACATGCCTTACTTAGTCCTAACACTCAGGAAGCAGAGGCAGGAGTATCTCTGTGAGTTCAAAACCAGCCTAGACTACAGAGTGAGTTCCAGGACAGCCAGAGCTGTCCAGGCACCAGGCACACACATGGTGCAGTTATAAAATGCAGGCAAACACTCAAAAACACACAAAAACAAAAGAGTAAAAAACAATAGCAACTTTATCCCTAAAAGGAATGGGCTGAGAAACACCAGAAGTCTACAACAAGTTTACAAGTCTAAAACGGATGTTGCGCAAGAATGAGCCTTGCAGAATGAGGGCGAACGTCAACAGGAAAAAAAAAGGGCTAGGAGCCTGAGCATGGGAAATGTGGGTATCCCAGATAGATGACAAGAAGGGTGGAAAGGACAGGTGGGACGACAATAGGTTCCAAACACCTCTCTAAAGTGAAATGGCCAAGACTTGGAGGCGCCACCGTGAAAACATTCCTAAATTTCTTGCATTGTTCTTGTTGCTTAATGTGAGATAAAAAAAAAAAAAAAATGAGACTCCATGTAGCCTTCACGGCAAATCGTTTTCTGTTTGGTTGGTTTTGTTTTGTTGGGGGAGGTAGGAGTTATGGGGTTTTTTGTTGTTTTTCTGTTTGGTTGGGTTTTGTTTTGTTTTGTTTTGTTTTGTTTTGTTTTGTTTTGTTTTGTTACAGGGTTTCTCCTGGAGATCCTGGGACTTGTTCTGTAGAACAGGCTGACCTCAGAATCACACCTGCCTCTGCCTCCAAGGGCTGGGATTAAAGGTGTGCACCACTACCGCCTAGCTAATAGCGCATTTTTTTTTTTTACCCCTTTCTAAGTCTGTCCTTGGCTCTATCTCAGAGGATGTCACTCTGTCTCCCTTTAACTTCCTCTGTTCCAGGTCCTCGTGTAGAATATGTTCTTCTCCCCGTCCCCCTTGATAGCTATGCTTTGATCCCGTTGCATAAAAAAATACAGCCCCTCCCCAATATCTATATAGTTCCAGTCTAGGTCCAGAGGTGCGGGTGGTTCTGTGAAAGAGAGAGTACAGTCACTCTTGTGATGGCAACAATGATCAGTCAAGCCCATTAAAACCATGACTGTGGGGAAGAGAGAATGAGCTGAGGCTGAAGGACAACAGAGGGGAACAAGGAGACACACAAAAGGAGTGGAGACCAGACAAGAAGCATCATCCCAGGGCCATCCAAGGCCAGAGAGAATTTTGCGGGGAGGCCCACGGGTGGCAACCATATGTGATCCCCCAGTGATCCAAGGGAGGGAAGTACACAAGTAGCTCAGAGCAGAAGAGGGTGCTGCTGCCGGATAACTAGAGTTTACCGAGCAGAACCTGGAGATATCAAGGAAACCACTAGAAGGCAGCAGGAAGTTCAAGTGGAACGACCTAGTCTCTGACTGGCTGAGTCCTCAGACTAGTTGATGGCAACAGTTTCATGCCTCACTTCCTGTCCTCCTGTGAAGGTGATCAAACCCAAAGGTAGGAGCTCTAGCTGCTCCTCCACGAGAGGGTGTGTACTCGCTAGGTGTCTGGAGGGGCTGGAGAACTGAAGGACTTCTTGGTGGAGAATGAGGGGTGGAATGTAGCCTTGACGTGTCGATTTCCTGAGAATCAGAGCAGAGGGCACAAGGCAGGAGAAGAAAGGAGGACACATTGCATTGTACCAATAGAGTAACCAGTACAGTCTGCCATTTTTCCCACATCCAGCCCCACAGTTTCTCTGGTCAGGTTAAAGGAGCCCTTTGCCTTACATAAGGTAACACATGAAATCCTATCAGATATCGTGGGATGAGGTTACTTTTACCGCAATTCCACTTGAAACAGAAATTTAAATTCTAACTTTAAGGTTAATGGCCAGTTTTCACATATCATGTAGTGTAAAAGGGAAACCCCCTTCATGCATAGTTAATTCTGACAAAATCTCACATAGAAGATCACTACCCAGTGATTGGCTCTTTCGTTCCCAAGAGACATCAGTGTTTGGCGCTGATACAATCGTGGAGTTCCATCCGGTCCCCGTTAAGCAGTCAAAGTGGACAGAGGAGTGTTAGACTGCATTCCAGTGAATTCCATTGCTCCCACAAAAGTCTTCTTTTTATTTTATACTTGTGAAGCAGAAAACTCAAGTTCTGCCTTGACAGTCTAGGTAGCCCTTCACATATATAAGTCTTGCTACCAAGTTGCTGACATTCAACAGGGGACAACATGTCAGTGTAGTATCCACACAGCAGGACCATGGATGTGTCAAACTGAGACCTGTAGCCATCAAACCACCCAAATCGTATTTTGGGGGAGGAAGGAATGGAAAACTATAGATTGTAAAGAATTTTATAGTGGGGATTCCTGTTCTCAACTCCAAGCAACCTGAGGTGTCATTTGCCAAGCTCAAGCTGGAGAGAAGAGTTGGGGTGAGAAAGAAGGTAGCCCCACTTCATCCTTGCTTTATTTCAGCTTCATCTTCAGCTGTGTAAGGCCAACCATGTCCATACACATCTACTTTAGAATGCCTCTTTTCCTTTGGTTCCATTTAGGTTTTCCAGAGGCTCTCAATTCTCCTCTCCTGAGTTTACCTTTCCGTAGGCACTGAGCAGCTTCTTCTTCCCAGTGCCTGGAGAACCAAGGAGAAGCCAAAGGTGTGAGCATCACTCTCAAAGGCTAGGAAAGAGAGGCACGCTGTCTCCCCCTTGTCCTTCCTGGAACAGAGAGAACAGGGGGGAAAGAGAGAGAGAGAGATGAAACAAAAGGGGGGATTGTCCTTTTGCCCCTTCCTTTCAGTAAATGCTCTGATCTTCCCTTTTTCTACTCCAAGTGAGGGTCAGCTTGGAGGAAAGGGAAGGAAAAGGCTGAAGTGTGTGGAAAACCCCATGTTCTGGCTGCTGCTGATCAGTACTGCGATCATGGGCTCATGGAGCTGGGTGTCTTAGACATGTGCATCTCACCCCTGGATTTGGGGTACTTGTTCACGCATATATGAACTATGGCTTCTTAACAACAGGGTGTCCGAGGCCTGAACTACCTTCCCCTTAATTTCATGTCTTCTCCAGAACGATACCTGTGACGAAAGGCAGAGCCCAGAGAAGGTTGGAGGCTCAGGACTGTGCCTTGTGGCCTTCCCTGTACTGTTTGTTAGTTGACCTAGATAACATCACTATCTTCTAAATCTTGTCCTCTGGCTTCTCTTTCGACTCTACCGAGTCAACAGATTTTCACCCCAATGTCTGCAATGATCCTTGGTTTTAGTTCCTGGTGTAAAAAAGAAGCTATTTCGAACTGTGTGGTGTTGGAGGATAGGAGAACAAAGTAAGCGAAGTAGCAACAATGGACAGAGGGAATTAGAGAGCAGTAAATTGGAGATGTGGGCAAGACTGCGTTCTCTCTCTTTCTTTCCTTCCTTTCTTTCTTTCTTTCTTTCTTTCTTTCTTTCTTTCTTTCGTTTTTTTTTGTCTTCGGTTTTTCAAGACATGGTTTCTCTGTGTAACTCTGACTATCCTGGAACTCAAACTTGCTTTGTAGACCAGGCTGGCCTAGAACTCAACAGAGATCTGCATGCCTCTGCCTCCAGAGTGCTGGAATTAAAGGCATGCATCACCACTGCTCAACTAAGACTAGATTCCTATAGGACATCATTATTTCTGTAAAGATTTAGTA